AAGCATGAGTTAGTTATGACTCTCTCTCTGTCTCTCTCTCTCTTTTGCTCTCTCACACTCCCTCTCGCTGTGCGTTGAATGACTTTTCGAGTGCATTTCTGTTGTTGAAATGCGTTTGATTAATGTTGTAAAGATTTGTTTTAATTTATCTTCTGCCTACAATCTTCGCATCAATACATTACTCACATGCAAATCTCCAGGCACAAAACAGACATTGTTTAATTGTTGAGTTAATGAAAAAATCAAATTAAAATTAATTCGAAATGTGTCATTAAGGCATTGACAGCATTGCACATTCTTATCAGGAAACTGCTGAATGATAGGCCAACATGTGTTTCAGGCCAAAAGAGAACTTGGCTAGCCAACGACAATTCAGAATATTTGTTTCATCAAACTATTCGTAGCACTTCCACATATGGCCAAGTTCAATGTCTATAGCCAATATGCAAATGCGTACCCCAATTAAGAGGTAAATTGTTCCAGATTTCAAAACGATCAAACGATTGGTGGGTGCGTACAGTGAACTCTCGGGTACGTAAGACCGGCAGTTGTTTGACGTCTGGTCAACTGCTCGATTGGGTGAAACGGCAATGAACGAAGCTGCTCAAAAAAGGGTATTCAATATTGTAATCCATATGGATGACTCAACGTCAGTCAGAGTAAGAGACAGAGAGAGAGAGAGCGAGTGTGAGAGTGAGAGGAAGAGCGTGCATGTGAATGAGAGTCCGTATGACCCCATTTGCCATTTCAGCTCGAAATTCGAATGCAATCAAATGTTATATAAACGAATTAGATTGATATCATCAACGTATCGGTGTCATTACACGTGTTGCCTGGCAGCACAGCGACATTTAGCTCCAGCTGCGATAGAAAATCTATTAATGAGCTGCGAATATTTTTTCTTCTCTCTCTCTCCATGTGCCTTGTCTGTTGTAGCTCCAGCTGTGGCTGCTGCTGCTGCTGCTGCTGTGGCTGTGGCTGCCCCGACTGCAACAGGTTTCATTTGCCACCGTTTGTCTCCCCCAGTTAATGCCATTATTTTTATGTGAATTTCGTGTTAATTGCTTTGCATTTGTTTACATTGTCTTGAATCTGTTGTGTTTATCGACGCTTTGCGCTGCTTTCTCACAGCCGAAATGCCAGCGCATTGGCATTACATTTAATTATTGACTTAATTCCTGTCTACCCCCCGCTGAACGACAATTTCATAAATTCGGCAATCATTTGAAACGTTTTGTTCTTTATTTGACGGCGAGTTAAGTGACATATAGAAAACTAATTCCAATGCAATTTCAATTTAGTTTATCAAATTAAGTTTATCCAGCTTTAGTTTAGAAAATTATTTTATATTCAAGTTGAACTTAGTTCCATTTCCTTAGTGGATTCCTTCTGCTCAAGCCAAATCGAATTTGAATTTATTTTCCAGCCATTAATAAGCCAAA